TGAGTTTCAAGCCACCGGGTCCGGGACGCGAACCGCGGTCGAGTACGTGGGAGTCCAGTGACATAGCCATTACGCTAACTGCTGGTTCCCACCCCTAATTTACTTTTTAAAGACAGTTTCACTGTGTCATGATCTTGATCTCCTGCCTCAAACTCCTAAGTAGCTACAATCACATGCACATGCCACCATCCTCAACCCTTTCAACAAGGTCTAACCCAGGACACCCTCAACTTTGTTATCTTCCTGTCTCAATCTCTCGGAGTCACCAAAATTACAGGTGCATGTTGGGATCAGCAATAGCCATAATGGCTATGTCGCTGGACTCCCATGTAGTTGACCACGGTTCAAGTCCCGGACCCGGTGGCTTAAACTCACACCGTGCACATGTGCGTGCATGCCCTAGATCCCGAGAAAAGAATGGAGAAGGAACTGCAGCATGGCCATCCCCCCGGGGGGTGATTTCTCGCTTTCTGTCTCTGTCTTTCTGGCAAGCACACATACCTTGTAGCAAAATCCTCTCCAAAACAACAACAACAAAACAATAGAAGTGCATGCCACAGTGCCCAGGCTTTAAGCTGGAACAGGAATTGAACCCAGGCTTCCTATGTGGTCCCTGCCTGTGGACACAGTGTCTTAGTAGTGCATGCCACCATGGCTGGGCCGAACAATTTTCAAGAATACATTGTTGTTAACTCTAGTCACAATGCTATACAACTGATCTCTTTATCTTCCAGTCTAAATGTGTACCCTTTGACCAGCATCTCCCCAAAGTGTAGCCACCATTCTACTATGTGTCTATTAGTTCAACTTTTCTAGATCTTGCAAGATTAAAAACATTTGTCTTTTAAATGCTTGGTTTATTTCACTTAGTATAAGGCCTTTCAGATTTATCCATGGTATGAAAAATGATAAGGTTTCCTTTTTTTTTTTCTTTTTTAAGTATAATAGTATTTCAATGCAATTTTGAGGGGTTGTTCAAAAAGTTCATGAAAAATATATATTATGAAAAATCTATGAATGGATTTCAAAATTTTCAAAATAAACTTGTACTTTAATTTCCACTTCCATGAACTTTTCAAAGTCTCCTAATATATAGTATATTTTCTTTATCCACTCATCCATTGACTGACACCTGAGTTGATTGTATATCTTGGCTATTGTAAATAAAGATATGATCTCCCCCTTTTTTTTAATTTGCCAGAGAGTGCATGTACTGAGAGATGGAGAGATTGACAGAGGGAGGAAATGCCCCCAATGGGGACTGTCATGCTGCAGTCCTTTTTCTCCCTTCTCCATCCTGCTGGGATCTGGAGCCTGTACACACACATTCAGCATGTTTTTCAAGCTCCTGGGGCCAAGACCAGAACCACTCAGTTTTGGGATCTGGCTTACTTAATCACTAGGACACAAGCCAGCCCAAAGATGATGACAAGGCTGCCCACTTTCTCCACTCCATTTCAGCAGTGCTCAAAGTCCTAGACCAATGCAATTTGACAAGAGAGTAAAATAAAAAATATTCAAATAGGAAAAAAGAAGTGAAATTATCTGTTTGCAGATGATGATTACATAGATTTAAAAATCCAAAAGAATCCACAAAAAATCTCCTGGAGGGGCCAGCAGGTGGTGTGGTGGTTAAAGATACTGGATTCCCACATGGCTGACCATGGTTCAAATCCCGGACCTGGCAGCTTGTTTTCTAACTTTCCCTTTCTCTCTCTCTGTCTGGTCAAATAAAAAAATAACAACAAATGAAATTAAATAAATAAATAATTCTTGGGACTAGCAGTTAGTGTATTGGCTATGTCTCTGGACTCCCACGGAGTCGACTGCGGTCCGCATTCTGGACCCAGTGGCTTAAAACTCACGCCGGGCGCGTGTGCGTGTGTGCCCAAGATCCCAAGAGGAGAACGGAGGAGAAGGGATTGCGGCGTGGCCATCCCCTCCGGGGGGGGGGGGTGATTTCTCACTTTCTGTCTCTCTGTCTCTGTCTGGCGAGTGCACGCACCCTATAGCAAAAACCTCTCCAAAAAATAAATAAATATATAAATTTTAAAAAAATCCTCCTGTAAGTAATAAATAAATATAGTAAAGTGGCAGGGTATAAAATAATAATACAAAAATCTGGGACCAGCAGGTGGTGTGGTTGTTAAGGCGTTGGATGTTCCCACATGGCTGACCATGGTTCAAGTCCTGGACCTGGTGGCTTTTTTTCTCACCTTCTCTCTCTCTCTTTCTCTCTGTCTCTCTCTGGTCAATTTTTTTAAAAAAATGAATAAATAAACGTAAATAATTTAAAAAATACAAAAATCAATAGCATTTTTATACACCAACAATAAATAAACTGATATAGAATTAAAGAAACCAATTATATTTACAATAGCCACAAAAATATAAGATACCTAGGAATAAACCTAACCAAAGAAGTGAAAGAGGGGAGGAGACAGTATGTATGCATTATGTATTTATTTATTTATTTTGCTTTCTCCTCCCAAGTATTTTTCATCCTAGCATTACATTTCTGTTTCCAATTGTTTCCTCTACAAGGAAAACTATGAAAAACTCAAAAAAGGAATTGAAAATGATAAAAAAAAAAAAAAAGGCAGAAAGATATCCCATGTTCCTGGATTGGGAGAATAAATATAATTAGAATGTCAATCCTGGGGCCAGCAGGTGGCATGCTGGTTGGGGCACTGAACTCACACATGGCCAACCACTGTCAGTGTCCTGGACCTGGTGACTTGCTTTCTCACTTTCCCTTTCTCTCTCTTTCTCTTTTTCTCTCTCTTTCTCTCTCACTCTCTCTCCCTGGTGAGTGCATGTACCCTATAAAAAACTAAAAAATAATAACAGGAACCACCCAATGGTGCAATCAATGGTTATATCACTGGACTCCTACATAGTGGATTGCAATTTGAATCGCATACCCAGTGGCTTGAAACTCATGCCAGGCGCGTGTGTGCGCGTGCCCAAAATCCCAAGAGGAGAATGGAGGAGAAGGAACTGTGTGGCATGGCCATCCCCCCCGGGGAGTGATTTCTTACTTTCTGTCTCTGTTTCTCCAGTGAGTGCATGCACCTTACAGCAAAAATCTCTAAAAAATAATAATAATAAATAAGCTTTTAAAAAATTCTAAAAGCCAATCCTCTCCAAATTAATCTATAAATTCAATGCAATTCCAATCAAATTACCAAAGATATTCCTCACAGAAGTAGAAAAAAACACTCATAAAATATATCTGAACTACTAAAAGGCCCTGTATTGCCAAAGCAATGCTGTGCAAAAAGAATAAAGTAAGAGGCATCTCACTTTCTGACCTCAAGATATATTGCATAGCATCATATTGGCACAGGCAGGTAGACCAATGGAACAGAATTGAGAATCCAGAAATAAACACCAAAACACATCAACTGAGTTTCAACAAAGGGCACAAGATGATCCACTGGGAAAAAGAAAATCTCTTCAGCAAATGGTTCTGGAAAAATGATATCCACCAGCAGTTCAATAAAACAGACCCCTACCTCTCACCATTAACAAAAATAAACTCAAAATTGATCAAGGATCTACACATAAAACCTCAAGCTATAAAACTACTGGTGGAAAACACAGTGGAAACTCTTGGAGACATCAGAGTAGGCAGACTTTATTTTAAAGTAAGACCCTGAAAGCACACCAATAATCCCGAAAATAGACAAGTGGGATTACATCAGGCTAAAAAACTTCTACACAACAGAAGAAACAATCATTAGGGTGAGGAGACAACCCTTATAATGGGGGAACATATTTGCAAACTATGCCTCAGATAAAGGGCGGATAACCAGGGAACTCAAGCAGCTTACCCATACAAAAATAAATAAATAAATAAGAAAAAATGCTCAGTATCTCTTATCATAAGGGAAATACAAATCAAAACCATAATGAGATACCACTTACTCCTAGTCAGAATGGCTAAGATTAAAAAGAGAAAGAATGATAAGTGCTAGAGATAGAGAGGTTGTGGTGTAAGGGGAACCCCCTACATTGTTGATGGGAATATAAATTACTACGACCACTGTGGAAAACAATATGGAGGTTCCTCAGAAATCTGCAAATAGAAGTACCGTATGACTCAGCAATTCCACTCTTAGGTATCTTCCCAGATAGGAAAACCTTCATCTGGAAAAACACTTGCACACCCATGTTTATTGCAACATTACTAACAATTACTAGGACACGGAATCAACCCAAATATACAAGAATAGATGAGTGAATTGAAAAAAAATGTGGCACATGTGCTCTATGGAATACCACTCAGCCATGAAAAATAACAAGACCCTGACATCTGGTATGAAGTAGATGAATATGGAAGATTTGATGCTAAGGAAAGCAAGTCAAACTATGAAAGACAGGCATTGTATGTCCCTGCTTAATATATACTGAATGTCTGCACTCTATAGCAAAACCTGAAAGATTAGAAGGTATAATAACAGGGAGGCCGACTGTAGATACTAAAGACAGTATGGGAGTGGGTGGGTAAAAGGGGGTGAAAGGGAGGGGATTAGGGGAAAAAATTTAAAGGACACAAAAATGAAAAGTTATCTGTTGATGATTAGGTATATATATATATGGTAATATCTTTGACTTGACTAATTTGTACCATATTCATGCTGAGAAAAATCATGTACACTGTAAAGATGTACAGTGATTAAATGTAAATTAAAAAAAATGTTTTAAATGATCTCAAGGTGCTGTGGTGGTAAGGTGCTGGACTCTCACAAGGCTGACTGCAGTTCTAGTCTCACACGTGACTGCTTGAAAATAACACCAGGCTTGGGACCAGCAGATAGCGTAATGTTTACGTCACTGGACCCCCACATAGCTGACTTTGGTTGGAGACTGTGGTGGCTTGAAATTCTTGCTGGGTGTATATGCATGCAAGTCCAGGATCCCGAAAAAAGAAGGGAGGAGAAGGAATTATGGCGTGGCCATCCCCAGGGCGTGAGGGTGATTTCTCCCTTTCTGTCTCTCTTGTCTTTCTGTCTTTTACACGCTTTATAGCAAAAATCTCTTTCAAAGGGAAAAAAAAAGAGAGAAAAGAAAATTACACCAGGCTTGTGTGTGCATGTGCCTAAAAACCTGAGAGGTGAATGTTAGAGAGGGAACTGCAGTGTGGCCATCTCCCCAGGAGAGATTTCTTACTTCCCCTCTCTCTGTCTCTCTCTGGTGAGTGCACATGCCCTATGGCAAAAACAAACAAGCAAAAAAACAAATAAAGAGAACCCAAACATATTTTTACAGAAAGAACCCATAAAATTACTTCTTTAACATTTAAAAAATTGAATAGATATTAACACAATCTCTTTTAAAGACTGTGATAATCAGTTTTGACATTTAAGATATGACTATTTCAAAGTAATGAAGTTACCTTCTTACCTGGTTCATTCCCAAAGTTTGCTTCCTCATTTGACAAAACTAACCTGAAGTGAAAAACAAAAAATACATAGATTTTAGTTAAAATATATTTGGGAGTCATAGTCCACAAACAGTTATATATGGTTTTACTTATGTATTTAAGGTTTTTGCCATAGGATGTATGTGCTCACTACAGAGAGAGAGAGAGAGAGAGAGAGAGAGAAAGAAAGAGAAAGAGAAATCACCCCTCGGAGGGGATAGCCATGCTACAATTCCTTCATCTCCATACTCCTCTCGGGATTTGGGGCATGCGCACACACCCACCCAGTGTGATTTTCACACTGCTGGGTCCAGGACTTGAACCACAGTCAGCCATGTGGGCATCCAGAGCTTTAACCACTATACCACCCACTGGCCCCTGTATATGGTTTTTAAAAATGTTTTTAACCCAGAAGATATATAAAATAGTTGTCTGGTGTATCTGCTAAACATCTGTATATGAAAGAATGTTCTACTGCTTCTAAAGATCTACAAGACTGTGAAAACCTTTCACTCCTGTTCTTTCTTTTTTCTTTTTTTGGAGAGGTTTTTCTTATTGGGTGCGTACACTAGCCAGAAAGACAGAGAGAGACAGAGAGATAGAAAGCCAGAAATCACCCCCTGGGGGGATGGCCACGCCCCAATCCCTTCTCCTCCATTCTCCTCTTGGGATCTTGGGCACGCATGCACACGCGCCTGGCGTGAGTTTAAGTCACCGGGTCTGGGACTCGAACCGAGGTCGACTACATGGGAGTCCAGCAACGTAGCCATTACACTAACTGCTGGTCCCATCAATAAACTTTTACTGAGTATCTTCCAAATGCCAGGTGTCGTGCTCCACACGGTAGGCCCATCTTAAGAACCTCTGTCACCGTGGCCACAGATGGCTTTGTTTTCAAGCACTGGAGGGTTTTTGTTCAAGAGCACGTGGAAACTAAATAGAAGGAATAAAGAACTCGAGAAAAAAAAAACAGGGTATTTTATTTTGAAGAACAAAGTGGAGCCAGCTGGTGGCATGGTAAAGGCAGCTGGATCCCACATGACCAACTGCATGGTTCCAGTACTGGACTCAACAGCTTGAAAAACGTGTTAGGCACATTTGTGTGTGTGCTCAAGATCTGAAAAAGAGTGTGGAAGAGAAGGGGTTGCAGTGTAGTCATCCCCCTGAGGGTCTTTTCTCACTTTTCTCTCTACTTCTCTGTTTCTCTCTAGTAGCACACACTGTAGCAAAAAAACTAAAAAATAAATAAATAAAAGTTTGCAAAAGAAGACACATTAACCTAAAATCTCAATGAACACAGGTTGAGTATCCATTATCTGAAATACAAGGACCACAAGTGTTTTGGATTTTTTTAAATATTTTCAGGTTTTGATATATATTGCACATATGTAATGAGGTATCTTAGAGATGGGACTCAAGTTCTAAATAGGATATACATTTATGTTTTATATATACTTTATATACATGCCCTAAGGTAATTATATATTTCTGTATTGCAGCATTTTGACATCACACAAGCTTAGATGTGTAATTTTTCACCATGGTATTATGTTGGTGCACAGTTTTGAAGTTTGGAACATTTTAGATTTACAGATTGGGTGTGGTCAACCTGTACTAATTTTGGATATTGACAGCGAATCATCAAAAAGTGAGGCAAAAAAA